CCATATTATTGCCTGCTCCTGGCCTAAAGTATTGTCATCCTTCCATACTGCCAGCTGGGATAAAATACTCATTTTCCATTAGAGAAGTAAGTGCTTAGTTTCTTGCATTTGAAGCATAAACAGTGTGCATATGTCTACTCTGTGGGCTGAAGTCGAATTAAGATACACAACTTCGACTTCAGCTACACAATTAACATAGCACCTATTATTGCCTGCTCCTGGCCTAAAGTATTGTCATCCTTCCATACTGCCAGCTGGGATAAAATACTCATTTTCCATTAGAGAAGTAAGTGCTTAGTTTCTTGCATTTGAAGCATAAACAGTGTGCATATGTCTACTCTGTGGGCTGAAGTCGAATTAAGATACACAACTTCGACTTCAGCTACACAATTAACATAGCACCTTAACTTGGCTTTTGGAGTTGTCTACACAGCAGGAAGTCGAAGGAAGAACACCCTTCCTTCAACTTCCCTTACTCCTCGTGAAATGAGGGTTACAGAAGTCGGAGTAAGAAGCCTGTTATTTTGAAGTTATTTCGAAATAATGGGCTGGCTGTGTAGACTGCACACATTGATATTTTGAAATAAGCATGCAGTGTAGACATAGAATACCCAGCATGTTGTAAAGAAAAACAGGCTAGCTACACTTTGTGGACATTGATATTGATAGTACAGACACACAAAACATACAGAGGAAATAAGGTTGGTTCCAGTACACATACAGGAAAGGAAATAGCAGCAAAGGACATGATCAATTATATATCTGCATTGTTAGGCAATCAAAGCTTGTGATACACACAATGATTTTACATTAGAAAAAAAAAAAGTCCTGGTTCTCATTTTTGAAAACTCTGTATAAAAATCATACATACAGGGGGTTTGTTGTGCTTTAGCTTCAGGAATTGCTGTCTCACTATGTTCGTGTTTTGGTAGAAGACCTTAACAGCTTTAGCAAATTCAGCATTATAGCTCATCCGATGGTTGCACATTTGGCCAGCCTCCTTTGATGAGACAGGCTGTTTGGTCACCTTAACTGCCCTTTTATTAGGAGACTTTAATTTCTTGCCTAGAACATAAAACAGACAGGATTTTTATTAGTTATTAATAAAATAAAGCCTAGCCTTTGCTTCTGCATGTTTATATTGCCATTGGATGAAAGTGATAAATTTTATCCATATTCTCTTGTTAGAAAAAAAAATTCAGTGACACAAATAAACTTAACACGGTCTGTTCCAGGAGGCGCTAAACACAGTACATCTTAACTATAACAGAAGCATGCAATCTGAGGGCATAGTTTGTGTTTTGCACTGACTTTCATGGCGTCCTGTTTCCCATTTCTTCAGTTTATCCTTAAGAAATACATTTTCTTCCCTTAAAGCTCTGTTAATATCTCTGAGAAGCTCAGTCTCCTCTTCCAACTTCAGCAGCTTTGGGTAAAGTTCAGATATCTGATTAGCTGTGCCCTATTGAAGAAAACATTTGAATATAGACAAAAATCCATATTGGTATTTATCAAGGCCTTCTACAGATGGATGTAAGTTCGCTACTCTCTGATTCAGCCATTCATTCTGTTTTAATGTAAGATTATTTTTAAGAATCCATGTAAGAGAAGCACTTAATTAGAAACTTCAGTGGCTTTTTAACTAATTAGGGACTATGTGACATCTATTTTTGTTGTGCTGTCATAAAAATTCAAATTAATTGTCAACAGAAAGTAAAGAACACAGATCTGTGTATAGCAAAGCACCTATATAATTTACAGTTTTGTTACTTATTCTACAGGGAGGCTCAACTGCCTTTCATTTGTTAACTGCCTGTGGATAATGATGCTGACCTCTTTCTGAAGTGCATTGAGAGCTAATGAAAAAAGGCTATGTAAGAGCTAGGCATTTATTATTATTCAAGTGGTCATTTATTTTTATTAAACCATTATTCAAACTTAACTTTGCCAGTTGAAATGAACATAAATAACTAGCTAAAATAAGCTTATTTTGCACCCAGTTCATTTCAATGAGCTTTTTGCTAGTGTAACAAGCTACACAACTGTTGCCAAAGTGTAAAGAAGCAGACCGGATCCTCAGGTGCTCTAGAGTGCTCTGAGGTTGCTAATTGTAGTGGCCAGAGGGATGCTACTCTGTCTCTAGGAATTCTGAGTCCTGCTTGTTTCCATCTGGAAAATACAGGTCATGGGACTACAGGGTAGTCTTGGAGATCTTTCATAACACTGAACCTGTGAAAAAGCCATTAAGTGGTAATGGAACCATTTAACAAGCATGTGCCAATCCTGCAGTTACTGACAAACACAGCTGTGCATTACTGTATCTATAGGATCTTAGTTTAAAAATTGCTTTAAGTATTGTATTAGTTTGCCACTGAAGATAATACAATCACATCTCAAAATCCTTGCATAGATATTTAGATGCACTATCGGAGTGTTCAGCTTTAGCCTTAAATACTTGGATCTTTAGACATATTACACATCTCCCAAATCAAATTAGGCAACTAGGGTGTCCATCATTATTAGATGGTGTTAAAGTGTCACAAGAGGGGCAGATTTTGAATGCTGGAGAATTTCCTTATGCCACACTAGAAGATATACTCAGCATTCTCGGGTCCTCAACTCAAATAAGCTTTTTTTTTCTCCATTTAAATCATTGTTCTGGGGTGGTGCTTAGCATGAGGGGTTCAGTATGCAGGCTGTCCTGGGGAAGCCCTCTCTCCCTGCAATACCTTGGGGCCAAGTGAAAAGTACCCGCTTATGACCATTGCAGCAGGCAAGGCTAGGGGAGGAGTGCATGTCCCCTGCTGGGAGATGGAGACACACAAGCAAACTTTCTGAAATATATAGTAGATAGCTGTTCCTTTCTCCATCCCTGCCTCCTACTGGCCCAATGGGGTTATAGCTGTCCTGATCCCTATCTCTGGCCCCTTGCTACCCCCTATCTCCATGGTCATTCTGCAGTATAACTTCCTCCTACCAGACCCCCTCCCCCCCTTCCCGTTCTATGAGAAATAGTCAAATTCTAGGCACATCCCATTGCCCTGGCACAACCAACCCCTGACTTTGCTTTAAGTTATGGTTAGAGAAAGCTGCATACCAAATTTGGTTGTCCTAGCTCTTACCGTTTATGACAGTGTTTCTTAAACTTTTTAAGACAGAGGAACACCAAACAATAATATATATATATTTTTTGAGGAACACCAAGGATTTTTTGTTGAGAAAAAAAAAATGTCCCAGGGAGGGGGGAGAGAAGAGTTATTGAGCCAAAAAAGTCACCTGCCCCTTTAAGGGCAGCCATTTTGAACTGTGCTCTCCATGGCGCACACTGCAGTGTACTGCGGAACACCGTTTAAGAAACACTGGTTTAGGAGGATTTCTTGAATGGACACATGGACAGATGAGAGATGCACATTTCTAAAATATATAGTAATATTGCTAGTACCCCTGAAAGGGGGTGAGTGGATAGAGCCTGTAACTAGATCAAAACAAAAAGACAATAGACAAAAAAGACTTTGTCACTCAGAACATCTGCCAACTATGATTCTATGATAAGGGGATGGTTGGATGAAATAACATGATCTTGGTAACTAATTGACCATTCATTATAGGGAACTTTCTGGGTGTCTGGCTGGTGAGTCTTGCCCACATGCTCAGGGTTTAGCTGATCGCCATATTTGGGGTCAGGAAGGAATTTTCCTCCAGGGTAGATTGGCAGAGGCCCTGGAGGTTTTTCGCCTTCCTCTGTAGCATTGGGCACAGATCACAGCTGAAGGACTCTCTGCATGTTGGGGCCTTCAAAGTATTTGAAGGCTTCAATATCTGAGACATAGGTGAGAGGATTATTCTAAGAGGGGTGGGCGAGATTCTGTGGCCTGCACTGTGCAGGGGGTCAGACTAGATGATCATAATGGTCCCTTCTGACCTTAAAGTCTATGAGTCTATGAGTCAACTGGCAAAAGGGTACAGGGATGCATATCTGGTATCTACATACTAGTTCATCAAAGAGTGTCATGTAAGGTCCTTGATTAAAGACTGCAAAAGCAGCAAGGAGTCCTGTGGCACCTTATATACTAAGGTGCCGCAGGACTCCTCGCCGCTTTTGCAGATTCAGACTAACACGCCTCTGATACTTGATTAAAGACTGTCACTGGTCATCATAATCATTGCAAAATGTATGTACAGATCTGCGAAGAGTTATTTATCGTTACTGAAAATTATGTTCTCTAAGTTGGTGAGTTAATAGTGAGTCACCAAAAGGGGATCCACATACTATTGTCAGGAAGGAGGGAAGAAACCTCTCTCTCTCTCTCTCTCTTTTTGGCTGGTCATTTATAAATTGGGTATTGTTCAGTTCACAATGGATGTCTATTTACAATCTGAGCAAAATGCCAAGCAAAAGACTGCGGGTGTTGTGGATTTTTCTGACCCCTTGTCAGTGCAAGGAGTGTCTATGTTGAAGTGCTACCACAGCATAGCTGCCTTTGTGCCATGGTAGCAGTATAAATGTAGACGAGCCATCAGAACAGTAAAGGCTTGCTGTTTCCTAAGGCCCACTTATTTTATCAAAGAGTGTTAACTCATAATTTAAATGGACTCACCAGACCAATTCCCTTTGCGATCACCGTTTTTGGATGATCAACTATAATGGTTATGTTGAAGTGCTACCACAGCATAGCTGCCTTTGTGCCATGGTAGCAGTATAAATGTAGACGAGCCATCAGAACAGTAAAGGCTTGCTGTTTCCTAAGGCCCACTTATTTTATCAAAGAGTGTTAACTCATAATTTAAATGGACTCACCAGACCAATTCCCTTTGCGATCACCGTTTTTGGATGATCAACTATAATGGTGCCC